GACAGGGCCAACTATATACATATCCACCCAGCACCCCCTATTCCCATTGGAGGGTTTGAATGACCCGCCATGTGGCTATTGGTTGGGGCTGGGGGAAACCAGGATCCAAAGTTTCCTTTGTTCCAGGAGCCAAGCTCCTGCATGTGCCGCGGACCCCTGGTGGCGGTCCACATACATAACATATGGGTTGTGTAGAACCAGGGGTATTTTTGGGCAGGAACGCACAGGAACGGAGTTCCGGCTGGCTCCCAAGTTGGCCACGCCCAGCAGGAACTCATTTGCATAATAGGCCACACCCAACAGCAGAAACTCATTCGGATTGGCTACATTAGGGGTGTGTGGCCTAACATGCAAAGGAGTTCCTGCTACAAAAAAAGGCCCTGGGTTTTTTTTGACAACAAACAAGGTAAACAGAATAACAAGCAAAAGGTGGGTGTGGCTGGATAACCACACTTCTGGTAACATGGGGGTGTGTCCTAATGTGCTAATGAGCTGTGCTGTCAGGGGTGTGGCCCAATATGCTAATGAGTTCCTGCTGTTGGGTGTGGCCTATTATGCTAATGAGTTCCTGCTGGGCTTTTTCTACAAAAAGAGCCCTGTTAGAACTGAAGAACCACCATCTTAAGAAACTGACAAAAGGGAACAATTCTGTTCAGGAGTTAAAAATGGTAGCTGTTGTCACCCTCGGATGATGCAAAAAGCCGAGGCACTTCACAGCTGTGCAGTCCGTGTATGGTGTATGCTGAGCGGATCAACTTGGCCTTACAACAATATCCATTTTGCTAATGCCATTCCAGTGGTCCTCAACCCCAAACACCATCTCCAAAGTGGCCCTAACTATTGCCATTGCACAAGTCTTTGCATTGAGAAGCTGGTGTGAAGATCCCATTCTGCACTTTTTCCTGCATGGCATTTTTAAAAGATCCACTAAAACGAAAGTTTATTAACCTGAAATAGGAGGAATTGGGTTGCTACCCTTTTAAAAAAACCAACAGTGCTGAACTGCTGCCCTGTCTTTAACAGCAGTCTGATACACAGAAATTAACCATGTGAAATGTTCCCTACGACATTCCTAGAAAAGTGTATCTGCTTAAGTGTCCATGCACCATGCTAATAAAGGTAAGGCCAGTAAACAGTAAAAGTTGGGAGAAGATGGTTGGTGAGCTGTTCTAAGCACCCGTCCTTCTAAATTATGGGGCTAGCAATGTACATCCCAGTACATCAGTACATTTTTGTAACTTGTAGCACCATCTTCTTAAGCACAATTACGCCCTCCTAAACCCATTGATTTCAATGGACTTTAAAAGGGGCAGCTCTGAAGAAGAAGAAGAAGAAGAAGAAGAAGAGGAGGAGGAGGAGGAGGAGGAGGAGATTGGATTTATACCCCGCCCTTCACTTGGAGTCTCAGAGCGGCTTACAAACTCCTTTCCCTTCCCTTTCCCACAACAGACACCCTGTGAGGTGGGTGGGGCTGAGAGAACTCTGACACAAACTGCTCTTTTTCAAGGACAGCTGTGCCAGAGCTTGTGACTGACCCAAGGTCACATCAGCAGGTGCAAGTGGAGGAGTGGGGAATCAAACCCGGTTCTCCCAGATTAGAGTCCGCACACTAAACCACTACACCAAACTGCCTCTTAAGGGCTTTAGTGGCACATTCAACTAATTGCCTGATTCTGTACCTGTTTTATCCAGCTGCTCAATAGAATGGGCGATTCTGCATGTTACGAAACTCATGTTGGAACAGAAATTCCCCTCTGCATTGCAAGCTGCTTTCAGTTTCTTTGATCACTGGATTTTATGGTACTCCTCCTCCTCCACACTGCATGCTGCTTTTGCTTTCTTTGATAATCGGGTTGTATGCAAAGATCTGTGGCCATTCAGGGGTGACTTTGCAGTCAGCACAACATTGCCAGTTGAGAAAATGTGGAGCGAATGCTAGATGCAGAATCACCCAATGATGCCCAAGTTACTTGGCACAGGACTGCAGCCTCTGGTTTACTAAAGGGCCTGTGTTTCTTTGTTTCCTGCCATTTCCATGAACTTGACTGTCTTTTGTTTAGGGGGAGGATGCCTGGAGAATAACTTCACTCGGGCTACAAAGGATAATGTGCAGGATAGAAGATGTATACACCCTGTGATTCACGAAAAATATAACAGTGCAACAGGCTAATGAATGCATTTTATTTTCAGTTTTCAAAATCATGGGCCTCAAGAGTGATATGACTGAGCTGACAGTGTTTGGGTCGTTTTAGCTTGACTTCATATCCATGATGCAATCTTAATGCGATTTTCATAGCAGCAGCAACGATGATGATGAGACAGAGATGTGTGTCTAATTCACCCAGTTTGCCCCTAGGAACAGATCCTGAATGATTTGAATACAGCAGGTTATCGTTCAGTAATTTCTTCAACAGGTCAGACTCGATAGTGTTCCAAATATTTGGTAGCAGTTAATCACAAAGCCACTGCATTCATGTGCTGCAAGTTCACTGCAGCAAGAATTCACTCTAAAGTACTACCCCCACAACAGTACAACTCCTCGTGCCATATCTTCTCAAAGAGCATTGGTCATTCCATTTAAATAAATCAATTCCTTTAACGTTGCACATATATAACACAGGATCTTGATTACAATGGTGATTATAATCAGTGTCCATTTACAAAAACTTTCATTGAAAGTACCCAAATAATCAATTTTATATAAAAAGTGATCAAAGAGTTAACCCCCCCATCCTTTAAAATCTAACAAAAAAAATAGTCCTTTTCAAAGTGTTCACTCACTTAGCAGCTCTCAAATGTGCAAATTAGTCTTACAAATTCGTATGTATTGTTTGCATAGTTATGACCAGTAGAGAGAGAAAGATCCTCCACAGGCATGTTAATATGAGAATGTAATTTGGCACTGCCTATCTACAACTCTCCAGCCAGCATTGGGAACTGAGTAAAATTATTTATCCCTTCTGTAGCACTCACTCACCCTCACAACGGACACTCCAAAGCTGGTCACCTTTATCTCCATGTTAACTGTGGCTAAGAGACCATGACTGTCCTAATGTGATCAGAATGAAGACCCAAGTGCAATATTTTAAGAGCCATGGGTATGGTTTGAAAGTGCCCTGGCTATTTTCAGTATGAACACCCAGACTTCTTCCTGTATTTCTTAATTGCCTAGCAATAGAGGAATACCCCAAATGCCACTTTCATTAATGCTCCTGAAGCAATAGTCTTCATGTTACATGATATAATCACTTGCAAAACGCTAAGCATACAGTGTCCCAACACACCTATTTCCACATATTTGCATCAGTAGTTCTCTTCTTGTTGGGCATCATTCACATAACTTGGCCATCATTAAACACCAAACATTGTAAGCAAATATGTCCTTCTGGTGTGACGAATACATACCATTGGACAGAGGAGCATTGTGGGTAGTTAGCCAGGTCAGAAGATACTATTGCTGGGATCAGTATGGAAATATCAAGAATGACATGTAGCTATTGGGTATGATGTTAATTGGCACTTTCCCAATCAACGACTGTCAATAGTATCTCAAAATTTGTTCTACTGCTTCAGACCAACACGGCTGCCCGCCTAGATCTATAAATACTAAGAGGGCATCTGGACTCACAATTTTTCATTCTGCTGGCATTCACAAGAGGAGAATCCACTTTGCCTCTCTAGATAGGTCACTGTTTATTTCCTAGATTCCTCATTCCAGAGGTACACATTTTCTTCTGGACTGAAGTTTTATGTTGTTCCTCTTCTCCTATTCTACAGGAGATTTTTCTTTACTATTTTTTCCCCCTGAATGAAGTTGCATCATTATACCCATGCACTCCTTCACCTAGGCACTAAACTAATTTTATCTCCTAGCAGTAACTACAAACATAGCTGCTCCACAATTCTCTCTCAAGGTTACCTCTCTTCCTACTAGCCCTTTTCTTGGCATACCTGCAAGACTTTGTGGGGGTAAGTCAGCGTGTAGGTATTCAAGTGCAGTTGCAAACATTGGTGCCTACTAAAGCAAAATACATTTAAAAGATGGACATGGGATTCTGGGAGAGGGAAATGTGTGTGGACAGGGCAAATGCACAAAATTAGTCCTGTGAAAGAAAGCACAAATATGAAGAGAAACAAGGCAAGAGCACTTAAGACACACACCTAAGACTCAGATCTGCTACCCATATTGTAGATGAAAAGAAAGGCCAGATGTTGCCTTGAAAGCCTTCAGTAATTTTGAGAAACAGTCTGAGAGGACACAGCCCGAACCCTTTGGCCACTAGGGGTGCATGAACCCAGTTTGCCCAAATTCAGATGTCACAACAAATTGTGGCTAGGTTAAGGACTTAAACCAGGAAGTGTTTCAGTCTTGGCTGTTTTTGTTGGAGGGGATGGAGGAAGGAGAAATGCATGGACACAAAAACAAGGCAAGCTCATTCTCATCACGAACAATCTCTGGTTTATAATTCCAAAGGGTTTGATTTCGTGAAGGCTTATTTGGGAATAATTTTTTTTTAAGGTGCCACTAGACTTGTTCATTTAAACTCTGGTCTGTTCCCAACATCAAAGTACAGTTTAGGTGCTCCTGTAATTTTTCAACCAAAGGAGCTGTCTGACAGCTGCACTTCCAAGTCGTTGCCCGTCAGTCTTAGTATAATGGCTGTTTTGTTCTGCTTCATGAGGCTGGTCTCTCATTTGTAAGGGGCCTGTGAGAACCCGAAAGGTACAAGGGAGGGAAAATATGCCTTATTTTTCTAATTATCACATTTCCATCTGCTGCATGTAGTTTCCCCCCCAGTTTACTGCCTTATCTCAGAAGGAACTTTGAGACCCTGAGCTCTCAGCCATCGGCTGGGGCAAGGCCAGTCCATCTGATTCACAAAGTCTGCTCTCCAGGCTTCTTGATTCTAAACAGTGGCAGATGCAGCTGGGTAGCCATCACCACAGACAAATGAGACAAAAGAGATCGTGTAGTCGATGTTGACTGATTTCAGTGCCCAAATCTGAAGGAGGTAGCTCCCTTTCAAGGTTGCTTTGTTCATGATTTACTCAGTGAGTTCAAAGTGATGTTCTGAACATCTTCCAAGAGGGAGGTGGTGGTATTTTCCAGATGTATCTTAGCCCAGTCGGGGAATGTGCCTAGTTGGAAGATGCTCTTGGCCCAAGTGTTGATAGCCAGGCTGAGAAGTAAAACCCCCATCAGATTCATAAGCAGACCAGTCTTTGCCTGTAATAGGAAAAACAAAACAAAGGAATGAATTGCTTCTGATTTACAGAGTATACAGAATTTAAGGGGAGGGGCCATGGCTCAGTGATAGGGTATCTGCTTCAAATGCTGAAGGTCCCAGGTTCCCTGTCATCTCCAGTTAAAAGGATCTGGCAGGGTGTGGTATGAAAGACCTCTGCCTGAGACCCAGGAGAGTCACTACCAGTCTGAATAGACAACACGGACATTGATAGAACAATGGCCTCATTCAGTATAAGCCAGTTTCATGTGTTCATGTGAATGGAGCCAAGTTAGGAGAAAAATGCCAAAACAGAGAAAGAGAGAAAGTATCAAGTTGTAAGAGGTGGCACATTTCCCTTTAACTTTTGCCCAATTGGCATTATTATTGTTGTTGTTGTTGTTATTGTTGTTATTATTTATACACCACCATCCCCCAGAGGGACAGTGTACATCATAGAAATAGAAAATAATAAATGATTAGAACAGACAAAACAGTATAATTCCTCCAGATAACCGATGGTGTACCTATAACTTTGCTACCTCCATAGGATGAATCCCATACTGGGATGGTAAAGCCAGGTGGAAGCCAAGGCAGGAACCGTTGCGCTCCTCAACTGTAGGCCTGGTGGGACATCTCTGTTTTACGTGCCCTGCAGAACTGAGCAAGTTCCCGCAGGGCATGGATGTTACTAGGTAGAGAGTTCTACCAGGTTGGGGCCAGGACCGAGTTTAGGTTGACTTGCAGGGCAATCTTAATCAGAGTTACAACCTTCTAAACCCAATGAAGTCAATGGGCTTAGCAGGGTATAACTCTGCTTGGGATTGCACTGCTTTTCAACCAAAGGATGATACAGGCCTGCCCTGCCCTGGATAGGCTAGGCAGGCATGATCTTGACAGATCTCAGAAGCTAAGAAGGGCTGATCTTGGCAAGTATTTGGATGGGAGACCCCCTAAGAATACCAGTGTTGGGAGGCGGAGGCAGGCTATCAAGGCGCTTCTCTGAACGTTCTCCATGCCCCAGTAGGAGTCTCCAGAGGTTGCCATGACTTCCAGGCACAGGGACACATACACACAAATGCAAAAATACCCCTCCCAGGCCTTTCTAAGAAGATGCAAGATATCCTGAGAATACTAAAGGTCACTTCTTAATCCATCTTGGTCCAATTTTACAGGAATCGGCTGGTCCCTGTGACAGTGTCAACTCATTTCATTGTAGGGTTGCCAGATCTGAATTGGGAAATACCTGGAGACTTTGGGGGTGGATCCGGGAGAGGGCGGGGTTTGGGGAGGGGAGGGGCCTCAGTATGGTACAATGCCATAGAGTCCACCTTCCAAAGCAGCCATTTTCTCCAGCGGAGCTGATCTCTTTCAGCTGAAGATCAGTTGTAAAAGCAGGAGATCCCCAGGCCCCACCTGGAGGCTGGGAACCCCAGTTCATTGGGTTCACAAACACACACACACATATAAAGGTAAAGGTAAAGGTTTCCCTTGCTTGAAAACCAGTTGAATCTGACTCTAGGGGGTGGTGCTCATCTCTGCTTCCAAGCCGAAGAGCCAGCGTTGTCCGAAGACATTTTCCATGGTCATGTGGCTGGCATGACTAAACACCAAGGTGCACAGAACACTATTACCTTCCCACCAAAGCGGTACCTATTTATCTACTTGCAATTTCTTGCTTTCAAACTGCTAGGCTGGCAGGAGCTGGGGCCAGAGACGGGAGCTCAGTCTGTCATGTGCCACTAGGGTCTCAAACTGCTCAGCTACCAACCTTCCAGTCTGCGGCTCAGTGTCTTAACCTCTGAGCCATTGTGGCCCCATACACACACACACACACACACATGTACACACACACACACAAATCCACCTTGTCTCCAATCCCAGATCAGTCTGCCAATTTATAAAAATTTACTCTTTGCCTTTCCTTAGTCGGTTCTAACTGCTTAGAATCTGCCTTCTTTGTGTGTGTTAAGTGCTGTCAAGTCACATCTGACTTACAGCCGCCATATGAATTAACGGCATCCAAAAAGTCCTGTCCTTCACAGCCTTGCTCAGGTCTTGCAAACTGAGGGTCATGGCTTCTTCCGTTGGGTCCATCCATCTCATGTCGGCTCTTCTCTCTTCCTGCTGCCTTCAGCTTTTCCTAGCATTACTGTCTTTTTCACTGAGTCTTATCTTCTCATAATGTGTCCAAAGTACAATGGCTTCATTTTTTGGCAGTTTAGCTTCTAGGGAGAGTTATGGCTTGATTTGATCTAGAACCCATTGATTTGTGTTCTGGGAAGTCCATGGTATCCATAAAACTCTTCTCCACCACCACATTTCAAATGACTTAACTTTCTTCCTGTTAGCATTCTTCACTGTCCAATGTAAGTACAGTATCTCATATATATATCTCAGTATCTCATATATATATA